ATAAGATAAAGTTGGCCAGTGAAAACATTAAACTTTCATGGCAAGATGCTACTTGTAGTAATGAGATCAGTTTGGAAATATATTTTACTGCATTGTACAAATGATTTTTTTGGCTTCAGTCCCATGGACAAAGCAAGAGATAACTGCTATTAGAAGTAACATAATTTGCAGTAGGGAGGGGAACAGAAAATATGCAAGGATTGCTTGAGTCACATGTAGAAGAATTAAAAAAAAAAAATAAATAAATAAATGATCTTCAACTTTTTCAAAAAGTTGAAGACTAAGGTGTTACAGTAGCTAAATAAAAAAGATAGAAATGAAATTGAAGAATTCATTGTTTTACTGTAGGTTAAAGAAAAGTTGAAACTTTAGAGTGCAAGAAATCTTTTTTTTCTCGTGAATTTTTTTATTTTTTTAATAAACCTGATTTTTCTGATACAATAATTGGGAGAAGAAATAGATTTATACCTGTCCTAACTGTAGGTATGCCAGAGAAAAGCAGTAATAACAAAAATTGCAATATGAGCTCTGGTAAAAAATGATTGCTGAAGACATTAGGTTTATAATACCCAGAAATTCAAACACAGATGTCCTCAAGGACATATGGCACAGTGGATAAAGGTGTTAGATCCAGTAAGAGGACCCAAATAGTGTGAGTTCAGTACCTGGTTAAGGCGGTGGAGAGGGGAATTAACAGGAGAGAACTAATAACTTAGATATGGCACTTGAAACTAGAACAGTCTACCCCAGTGAGCGAAATAAAGGGTTTAGTTCGACATTCCAACCACCTGAAGAAGGCCAGAGCGTACAACAGACAAAACGTAATACATATTGCGACAAGGATGAGGACAATAGTCCGAATAATGTAAATAGTATGCATAAATAAATGTAACAAGCCTAACTGGAACTTGAAAGATTTAACCTTGCTTTGTTTTATGGTTTACAAGATGAACTGTTAATATTCTTTCATGTGTTGTCTTTTTCAGGACATGGGTAATCTCCTCAAGTTCCCATTTTTTTATAGCTCTTAGAATTATATTTTTAGGATACACCTGCTTATGGTCATGTCATGTTGAATCATTAGTCCTTATATGATAACTGAAGTTAAGCAACATTGAGCCTAGTCACTTCCGAGATGTGTGAATGCTTTTGATTAACAGGTGCTATAAGCTTGGAGATGCAAGTGCTATAAAGAATAATAGCTCAGAATAGTGAATTAGAGCCAACTTTCAATTCCACTTGGGTTTTGGTATATTCACTTATGTGCAAATACCTATGGGAAAGGTATAAATCTACCTATTCTCTTCCTGCTATAGGTTAATTAGTAAGAGATGGATGAATAAAATCATTACCTCAAAAAAAAAAAAAATTCTGAAAATCTAAAAACAATATTCTCTGGTTTTAAATCTGGAATAGGTTGATAAAACAAAAAAGCTAATCAAACAATACCTTTATTCTACCATTGCTTTATAAAAGGTAACAAATTGACAAGCTTGAATCTCTATCTATTTATGGCAGGATGTGTGTGTAACGAATGCACAGCCGCAATTTTCAATGAATTTGCACCAAAATTTACATGCACATGCACCAAGTTAGCGGGAAGGCCAAGACCGACTTTGCATTTCCCAACTCCCATCGATAGTGGAAATAATAGATTTTTTTCATGCTTCTACGGCAATTTTCATGTGGTTTGTACCATTTTGTAGTGGCCAGAGTGAGAGCCAATAGCTGGCTGCCACTAATAGGCAAGAAGATTCTACTAGCCAGCATGAGAGCCAACAGCTGACTGGCATGAATGTTAACTATTGGCTAGGTTATGTATTGTTTCCCTCTTGACCGCAATATGCCCTGTATTTAAATTAATTCTCTTACAAGTTCCAGAAACTCTCTCTACCTGTTATTCTCGGGCTTCATCTTGTTCTGAGTATGATGATAAACTACATCTGGCAGCAAAGCCTCTGATCGAGAGGTTTTGAGAAGCATGGAACTACCTCTTAATTGCTGCTTTTCTCAGGTCCACACTGACACAGGGTAGTAGTACCTTTTAGTGTCCCAGCTATGGGCAAATAATAAATGCCCAAACTGGGGTCAAAACATTATGAAAGTATAAAAATATATTTTATAGTAAAAATACCCGCAATACCTTTTCAGAGTAAGAAAATATTACAAATACATTTGACTCTTGACTTAAAAAAAAGAAACCAAAAAAAAAAAAAAACTCTTTACAGAAATTTGTTGATGAAACCTGATCTAAAAATTTATTTCTTAAAAAGAATATTCATTCTATTCATCTAAACCTAAAATAAACATTTTGCTAGCATTAAATAACCCATTTTGATTTTAAAACAAAATAAACCAAACCAATCAGGCTTCATCTTTTAGTATTCAGTTTTCTTCTAATGTCTCAAGTTTCTTCTTGTGTTTCATTCAATGTCATATGGATAGATTGGTATTGTATAGAATTTTGGCACTGATTTTCCTGTTTGTTATTTTGTTTAAA